AAAAAAAAAAAAAAAAAAAAGCTAAATAATCTGCTTATTAAGAAGGAAGCGGGGAACCTTCTTGTCAATAGTTCATTTGTACCTCTTGCAGAAATTCTTTGTCATGTTTTGAACTGTAAATCTTCTTTCCTCCGTTTTACAGCAGTCCGCAGACATCTTTAACATTTTAAGTCTCTGGGATTTTCTGGGGAAAATAAACCAAAAATGTGTCATTCCCTAGAGTATCATTTCTTTGTTTAAGGGTTGCGTGAAGACACATGAATATGGATACAACTAAAACAAAGGATCTTATTCTCAAGAGAATTACACGTGAGAAAACATTGCTCAAAGTAAAGAGGTTTAGGATCAGGGCAAACGTCGAACTTCACATGAGCCGAACCTAATGACGTCAAAGAAGACCGCCTTGTTATCCATTGTTTCAATTAGGTTCGACTCATGTGAAGTTCGAAGTTTGACCTGAGCCTTATTCGACAAATATCTTTAGGGAACATATGTTCAAGCAATTTCCTTCGATGGGTGAGTGGTAAGTTCTGACTTGATTCTTACATGGCGCAATCGAGAGAAGAGGCCATGGCTTTCATCGTGTCTTCGTAAACCTTGACGGAAATCTGGCAGGAAAATGCGCAGTTTGCAATAATCTGGGAAAAAACCCGATACAGTTAGTAATAGTATTAGTGTACGCTAACTGTTCAACAGACCCCTTGCAGCACTTTGGAATGCAGCTCAATCTGGGGGACAAAACAATACGTTCCAATTCTCAAGAGTTTAGAATTCTTTTGTTTTTGTCCCCCAGAACGAGCTGCTTTGACGTAACTGTAAGTAGTCTATAGACCTCCTCGGCTCGGACGTAATGTTTTCCCATTTCAGACCACGTGTCATTCCCTAGAGTATTATTTCTTTATTTAACGGTTGCGTGAAGACACATGAGTATGGTTACGACTCAAACAAGGAACCTTATTCTCAAAGGAATGACACGTAGTCCGAAATCGAAAAACATTACGCCTGAGCCGAGCAGACGGATGGAAAGACAGACAGGCAATTAGACAGACAATCAGACAGACAATCAGACAGACAGATAGACAGATAGAAAGACAGACAGACAGACAGAAATAAGTCGTCGTACCTTGGCCACCGTTGAATCTTCCTCTAACGTCCTCTGATCTGGAATAGCAGCTACAGGCGCTGAAAAAAATAAGACAAACTTTATTGTATTCCAATTTTGTTCGATTTTCTGGGATCATTTTTTTTCTTCTTCTGCAAACCGAAACAAATTTTTTCTCCGTCATTTTATGTCAACCAGGAAACGATGGTTTTGAATCTGTCATACATGTCAAAACATTCTGTGAGTTCCTATGAAATGCAGGATAGGATATGTGGTGGGAAGCTAAAGAAAGAAGCTCCACTCTCATCGTTTTTAGTCTTTAATCCAATCTAAATGTGTGCCATAATATGGTAATATATCGGCCCTTGATTCTCGCGAACTACATCCAGTGCATAAATTGCCCTATTTCACTATGACGTCACATCAAAACAATCTACATGGTCGTCGGACGGGGTCAAATCAACGCAAATTCACCGAAAATTGTTCTAAAACCCATATCAATCCACGAAGAGAAGTAGAATAGCCAGCAAACGCTCAGAATATCTTTTAGTACATATTAACACATATTATATCTGAAAACCAGGCCATTTTAGGTTAAACTGTTTCGCTAGGAGCAAATGTTGTTGAATTTTCTATTGGATTTGACGATTCTATCCCCCACATAAACAAGCAGTGACGTCATAGTGAAATAGGGCAATTGATACCAATAGTATACTTACGGATTTTTCTCATTCGAAGTAAATCAGGTGTGACAAAATACCCTCCCGATAGGATCAGAGGTCGTTCTCTCTGTAACAAACAAATCAGTAATATATCAGTGTTAGGTGACGCATGGCATGAGCGTAAACCGCCACCCGGTTAGCTCAGTTGGCAAGAGCGTCGGTCTGTTATGCGGGAGGCCGTGGTTCAAGCCTCGGCCGGACCAACACTCAGGGTCTTAAAATAACTGAGCTGAGAAGGTGCTGCCTTTGTAATTAATTATATCTGCAAATGGTTAGACCTTCAGGTCTTCTCGGACAAGGACTTAAAACCGTAGGCCTCGTCTGTCTTCACTCTGTAACCCTGTATAAAGGCGGACGTTAAAGATCCACTGAAGACGCTGGTGACAACCATCTTTAGAGCCCATGCTAACCGGCTGACTTATCAATTGGGCCGCAGACCTGTTAGGCATCCAGTCATCCACCTAGGGTGGTAAACGCACTAAAATATGATATCAGTACGGAAACTGATGACGAACGCCAACCTTAACCAATCACAGAGAGTGTTTCATTTTCAACCAATCAAAATACTTGGACGTGGCACCATCACCACACGACACCTCGTCACGCAAATGCCGTTGTGACGTCTGAGCCTATCACAGCGCGCGTTATTACTTTTAGTCTAATCAGGATGCTCGGGCATAGCACCATTGTGCACGACCCGAGATAGGCTAGGTCACGGTACGACAATTCAGTAAGACACCCATTGAGCCAATCACAAGGCTTGTCATTACTCTTAGACCAATCAAAATGCTTGGACGTGGCACCATTATGCATGACCCGAGATAGGGCTAGGTGACGGTACAAAATCGATAAGACATCCATTGAGTCAATTACAGCGCGTGTTCCGGCGTTGGACCTGGCACTATTATTTCGAAACGGTACGTATCTGTTATGGGACCATGAGTACGTACTTTTGTCGAAGGATACTTGGAAGCCTCTTGGTTTGGGTTTGGATTAAACGGTTCGCCATTCACGTAAAACATTTGAAGTGGTGCTTGTACTCCTGTCTCCCTGGCAACTCGTTCTTGAAAATTGGCAAACCTAAAATAACGTTTCAAATGATATTCATGTCTTGTCTCAATAGAGCATAAATAAGAAAGGGAAACTTCTGAATCTCTCGCACTCGCGCCATGCAAATTCCCGGTTGTTCTATTTTTCGAAACTGGATGCAGTTTAAATTTAGCCTTCACAGCAAAACCAAATTATTTCAAATCTTGACAACGATGTAAGAAAAGTCATAAATTTATACTCTCTTGTTTGTCTTTGATAAGTATTCACCTCTTACCTCTGGGCCTCAGGTTCGATTCCTGGACACAGCATTATATGTCGACAGAAGAGTTTGTTAGGTCTCTCAATAATTTAAGGGTTTTTCTCCAGGCAGATTCTCCAGTTTTAATCCTGCTGCAAAAACTAGCTCACTAAATACCAATTCTATCTGTGAGTTAACCATGCCCTAAATGTGATCAGCCCAGATGTTGTTTCAGGGCATTGATAAAATTTAACTGTTTGATGGCATTCGACGTCCGAGGACAGTATTGGAGGTTAAGTTTAGGACGAGAGATCGTATAGGGGTCTTCAGTGGGGGTGGGTAAGGAGAAAAGCAAGTATCTGCCCATCACATCCGTAAATCAAACATATAAGAGAGTATCAAGGTTTCGTGAAAGTAGTTTGAGCTGAAATCTGCTCATGGGGATCTACTTCTTTTGCTTACTGTTACAGATTTAAAAAAAACTTTCATGTTCTGACTGTGACTTACTTTTCGTTGGCTTTGGCGTGTATTTGGTGAAAAGAACCCGACTGAACATAGTATACTTCAATAACCTGCAAAAATAAGTTAAAAAGCATAAGCAATCATAGATACAGTGGATGAAGAGCTTTGGGATTCTCAGCCCCCATGAATCAAAGAGAGTTACAATACAGTGTAAGTACAGTAGAC